TTTTTTTTTTCAAAAAATGTCAAAAGAAATGAAATATTTCGAAATAAAGCTAAAAAATGAAAAAAGTTTGAGAAAGTATTAATTCAGGAACACATTAAAAAAAATTAATTCCAATTTTTTTCCATAAGTTGAAAAGCTTCAAAAATTCGGGAAAAAAAGTAAACTTTTTTCTCAAAATTTCAATATGCTAGCTTATGACTTTCTTAAAATCCATTGATGCTAACTTTGTATCTATCGGAACTCGGAATAACTTTATAATATAAAAATCATTCATATGTACAACGTAAAATCACTGAAAGTATAATTGTATTGTTAACAATTATGTCAAAGAAATTGGTCAATGGAAAAAATATGCCTTTTCATTCTTTTGATATACGTTTTCAAGAATACCGTCAATGATTATTATCAGATGATCCCGTCCATAAAAGATAAGATATGCCTTGCTTTATTCTTTAATGTACGATTCCAGGAATACTGTCAATGATTATTATCAGATGTTTTATGATCCTTTGTTAACTTTACCACACCATCAACTGTTTACTTCATCATAGACATAAGAGAATCATCCAATTCAAAAGGAATATTGAGTTTCATTTCCTATTTTTATTTCCATCACAATCAATTCACGAGAGTGAGGCAAGAGAAAGACGAAGTGATTACTTGCATTTATATCCTGTTATCAGTTTCATTTCACTTTTCTATTTTTTTTCGCTTTGGGAAAGTTTTGATTTGGCACAGTCGAATATTTGGTGATGGTCAATTTCTTCTTTGGAAGAGAATAATAGCGGAACAGTTTTATTGAAGAATTTGAAATTGAAAGAGTAAAAAATATTTTTTCCGCTCTTAACACTTAAGTATACATATTTGTAAACGTGGTGGAAAGGGTTTGACATCTCAAACAAATTCCATTGCCCGTTCTTTCATCCTGCTCCCATCGCTCCTTCTGGTCCTTGTGGTCCACGCTCACCTTTCAGTCCTTTTGGCCCCGGTTCTCCTCTATCACCCGCCTCACCTTGCTCCCCCGGTGGTCCCCGCTGTCCCCGTTCACCTTTCGGGCCAGCATTCCCCATCCTTCCCAGCGGTCCTTCAGGTCCCTCTTTGCCATCTCGTCCTGGTGGTCCTGGCTGTGCTTGTAATCCATTCATCTGTGATGGAAAACAAGCCTGAAAACAAAATTTGCAAATAATTTCTCTTCA